CATACTTAAAGCAAATATATACTCATAAATTTTGGAGCTGCTACAAGGCAACATTGAGCTCTAAAGTGAAATAATTGTGTGTATTTGTGTGTGTGTGTGTTTTGAGGAGGCTGGGAGACTAGTTAGCCAAGTTGGCCAGAGAAAAACTCTGTAAAGGAAGCAGTTCACCTAAGATCTAAAGGATGAACTGTTCAGCCATGCCCAACATGGGAAGAATATTCTCTGCAGAATGAAAACATGGACAAAGATTCCAGGATATAAATAAACTTGTTTTGTTCAAGGGATGGAGGAGCCAATGTGGCTGGAGCAGAGGTGGGGCACAGGGGTGGTAGATGTGCGGAACCTCAAGTGGGAGTGGAAGGTCAGGAAGAGGCCAGGTCACACGGGGTCTGTAGGCCATAGGAGGGAATTTGGATTTCATTTTAAGTGAAGGGGATGTAGCTCAGTGGTATGGTGTTTACCTAGCATTCTCAAAGGCCTAGCTTGGATCCCCACCAGATCAAAACCAAAAAAAAAAAAAAAAAAAACCCTAATGAAATCCAAATGAAATAAATGAGGGAGTTTATGAAGTAAATACTCCACCCCCCAGAAGAGAAATCAGTGGTACAAATTTTAATGTAATTGAACTTGGATATGACTCACTATTCCTATTATTAGATGATGTGAAAATATATCTTATTCTTGCCAGGCAGGATGGCGCATGCCTGTAACCCCAGCTATTTGGGAGGTTGAGGCAGGAGGATTTCAAGTTGAAGGCAACTTAGTGAGCACCTGTTTCAAAATAAAAAATAAGAAAGATTGGGGATATAGCTCAATGGCAAAGTTTCCCCCTCCCCCACAATCTCCAAAGGAGAAAAGAATGAAGGAAGGAAATAAATATATCCTACCCTTATGTTTAGGTTCATTGCTAGAATATACAACTCACTTTTCTCTTCTTGGCCATTTTCCTGTGGCTGTGGTAGGGATATCTGATCACCAGAAAGCTCTTGAGGAAAGGAAACTAGTTGGCAAATCCAGAAGAATCTGATTCCCAGGCATAGATTACACGCCTGTAATCTGTTACTTGAGAGGCTGAGGCAGAAGGATTGCAAATTTGAGACCAGCCTAGGCAACTTAGATCCTGTCTTAAAATAAAAAGGGCCAGGGACCCAGGGATGTAACTCAGTGGCAGAGCATTTGCCTAGCATGCATAAGGTGCTGGGTTCAATCCCCTATACCAAAAAAGAAAAAGTTGAGAGAGAAGGACTCTATCATTCCTTACACCCTGGATCTGTCTATCATCTCACTGTCCAAAGAGCTAGGAGCCAGAGAAGCCCACTAAGACTATAGTAGCAAGTAAGATTGTTCTATTTCTGTTCTCCACTCCCTTATAGCATTCTGTGGGGTCACAGGCCCCAGATAAATTACTTGCATTCAAATCCATATTTTATGGGCTGCTTCTGGGGAAACCTGAACATTAGGTTAAGTTTAAACAAAGAAGAAAAGAAAGTCACTGAGCTTTCTGGCACCCATTAACACCAGGTTTCCTTCCTGAGTCAAAGGCCTGAGTCATAACACTAGGTTACACAGCCTGACAGATTCCATTGATAGCAGGTGAAACTAAATGTGAAGATTGAGAAAGTCAGATTTTAAGAAAAAAACATTCTGATATGCTCTAAATAGATGTGATTTAGATAAGCTTTAGTGGGAAAGGGACAAAAATACTAATGGGACAGTTCAAAAGGAAATGTGTGTCATAAAGCCGTAATATATGACTTGTGGTAATAAATCAGTCAGAAATTCCTTCCTAGCCCCTAACCTCTGTGACTGAAGACCTCTTGTGACCTACCAAAGCTTGCAGTCCAAATAATCAAAAGTTCACAAGTGAATCACGGATAGAAGATTTGGTGTAGAAGAGAAATAAGTACCTGAGATAACATTACAACGCAAAAAAATATTTTGTGCAATACGTTTTTATTTCTTTGATTCTGTGTGAATTTTCCCCCATTTTGTTTTACAATGAAACCATTGCGATGTTGTTGTCTTGGACCCTAGAACTTTCTGATTGTCTTTATGGGCTTTTATTTTAATTTTTTGAGATTGCGTATCCCTATGTTGCCCAGATTAGTCTCAAACTCCTGAGCTCAAGTGATCCTCCTACCTCAGCCTCTCAAGTAGCTGGGACTTGAGCCACAGTTCCCTGCTTTAATGGGGCTTTTAAAGAGATAAATTGGAAAAATAGGAAATAGCATTATGCCAAGGAAGAACCTTAATCAACAGGAATTGTTACAATGATGCAATGATTCCGTGTTTTTTGAGGGCTTCAATTCTGGGACCAAACCAAATAAAATAAATAAATATTGGACATGAGACACAAATGTTGAAATCCTAAGAGGCTAAATTCAGTCAGACTCCTCACCTCACTATCATCTTTTGCCAAATGGCTAGAGACTAAGTCAAGGCCATATTACTAAATTCTGAGTTAAGGCTGTGGCAAAACTTTATTTTATAGTGATGCCAAATATTAATATTTGAAATAAATGCATTTTAAAAATACATATATAATACCAGGTGTGATGGCATTATACACCTATAATCCCAGCGACTCCAGAAGTTGAGACAGGAGGATTACACATTAGAAGCCAGCCTCAGCAATTTAGGGAGGTCCTAAGCAACTTAGAAAGACCCTGTCTCAAAATAAAAAATAAAAAGGGCTGACGATGTAGTTCGGTGGCAAAGCACCCATGAGTTCAACTCCCAGATCCCCATTATAAAAAAATAGATAGATAGATAGATAGATAGATAGATAGATAGATAGATAGATAATGTTGTTGTGTTGTTTATCCTCATGTCCAACATATCAGGACATCAGGGCAGGACTACCTAGACTTAGGGAGGAAGCTGGAGCACAGCAGTGGTGAGGTAAAGACAAAAAATGTCCTTCTCAATCAGTACCCAGCCTAGGGGTCTCTTTAAATGTCTTCTTTTCCAATGGTTCAATGAAATGGTGTCATGAAAATTAAAAGGGTGGGGTCAACAAAAGATGACCACAGCAGGGAAGTGACTTGTTAGTGATTTTCCTAAGGATGTAGATACATGGTGGATATTGGGGATGAATACTAATATGGCTCATTCTTGCTTCTGTAGATAGTTGTCTTGATATCTATGGGTATGTATTTATGTATTTAGTTACTGGGGTTTGAACCCAGGGGCACTTTACCACTGAGCTCTATGCCCAGCCCTTTTTGTTTTGAAACAAAGTCTAAGTTTCTTAGTCTGGACTGGAACTTTCCATCCTCCTGTTTCAGCTTCCCAAGTGGCTGGGATTATAGGTGTGTGCCACCATGCCCAGCTATCTATGAGTTTTTAGATGATAATGAAATTATGTTTTAAAATAGCATTAAAACATTTGAATTACTAACAGATGTTTATGTTGGGAGAACTTCTTTCACATCAGGGGTAAATATGTGTTGACAAATATGTCCTCCCCAACTATGAACCTTAAACTAATCTGTTGAAAGGCAAAATAAGTTTTCACATATGAACTGCTAGAAGTCCAAATTAAGGTTTCAAAGAAGTCAGAGTGATTTCCTGTAGGAAATACTATGAACTTGAAATATAACAGTGGTAGGGAAAATGGGTTTCACTTTGTGGAGAGATTTGGCATCTACTTCAGGGCACATCTGTCTTTTTCTTTTTTCTTATATTTCAAGTCCTGAAATAACTCAATTTAAAAACTCATTGCTGTCTTTTAAAAAGACTCATTAGAATTTTCAATGGGAAAGTTAAATGTGAAACCAATTGATTTTAAAGTCATGGAGAGGAAATTGGAATTTTAAATTCTGTTTTCAGATTTGGTTAGTGAACTTGAGAACAAAATAAAAGAGACTGGTTTGATTTGTCTATTTAGGTGAATTCTAAAACATGTCATTGGACTCCAGGGAACAGCCTAGCACATGGCTGGCTGCTATAGGCCAGCAGGGCCTTGAATTCTACCAAATGCTTGTGAAACACAACTAATGGAAAGAACTAGCCTTTAGGGCTAAGTCAAGACTGACTGAACCTCTCTGTGAACAACTGTGAATACTCTATTTCTCTGGGTCTTGGTTGCTCATCTCCAAACTCCAGCTCTCACATAAGAGTCTGTGAGCTATTGGGGGAGGTGGGGTGCCATCTGAGAAAGTGGGAGAAGTCTTAAATTATAGAGGTCCCTGTGTGTGGCCCTAAGCCTTGTATCTTATGGAGACACATTTGCAGAGAAGAATTGACATGGCTAAGTATTCAGATTATTGGTAAGTAAAGTACCTCTCATTTTTATTACCCAGCCGCATGTTTTCTAAAACGAATATGTTTTATTGTTATACTAAAATGTCCCGGGTGGAGGAATGTGGGGAGTGGGGAAAGGACCGCTACTGGGTACAGGGGTGCAGTTAGGAGAAATAATTTTTAATGTTCTGTAGCACATAATAGGGCAACTAAGGTTGGCAGCAATTAATCACATATTTCAATGGAGGTAGTCGAGAGGATTATGAATGTTCCCAACACAAAGAAATGACAAATGTGTCAGGTGATGTATCTGCCAATTACCCAGATCTGATCATTACACCTTATCTAATACATCACTGAGATATCATACTGCACCTTATAAATATGTACAAGTGAAATGATCTGAAAAGGCGAAAATGTTACAGGCAGGGGCACATAAAGTTAATATTAAAAACAAAACAAAAGCAAAGATCTTTTCTAACCCTAGCAGTATGAGGAAGTTCCCTGAAGGAATTTACCTGGCAGCCTGTCTCTGGCTCAGACACACCTTCAGGATCCGGGGGCCTCCCCCGTCCACCTCTCTATTATCAGTTCCCCATCAGCGCGGGGCGGAGGCGATGCTCTGCGTCTTCCTCCTGATACCCAGGCCCCGGTCAAGGTGAAATTGGGCTAAACTCGACTGTTGGTGTTGTCCGGAGCAGCCCTGCAGGGGGCTGGGTTTACTCAGGGGCGCGTCCCGTTGTGCTGTCTTCCAGCTCGCCCATGCTTCGTCGGGGAGTGGAGCCCCTGGAGTGGCTGCGCGGACCAGTGCAAGCCGACCATCCGCGTGCGCAGGCGCTCGGTGCGGCAGGAGCCCCAGAACGGAGGGGCGCCCTGCCCGCCCCTGGAGGAGAGAGCCGGCTGCCTGGAGTACGCCACGCGGCAGGGCCAGGACTGCGCGCACGCCTTCGGTAGGGATGATTGCATGGTTGCAGCCCTTGTGACCTTCGATGACTTCTTGGCCCTACCTTCCATGAAAGGCCATGGCTGTGCAGGGAGAGTTGCACACACTGCGGGGAGCGAGTGGGTTGGGCCGGTCTGCCCAAAGTAGATAGGAAGCTCAGGAAGTGCTTGAGGAGGAATGAATGGCCAGCTGTACAAATGACTCTCTTTCCCTCGCTGTCCTCTGTGTGTTTTTAATTCCATGGTCCATTCTCATTGTACACAGACTCAGCAATAAAATAAAACACGCACGTGACCTTGCGTGTGTGTGTGTGTGTGTGTGTAGGGGTGTGTGTGTGGGGGGGGGTTGGCCTGTGCATACCTGTGCACCCAGGATCAAGCCCCAGGCCTCACATTTGCTAGGCAGGTGCTCTACCTGTGAGCCACATGTCAGCCTTTGCATTCACATGGTTTTTAGTGAATCAAACAGGTGATAGAAAACTTTTTGATTAATTGAATTATTTTGCGGTACCAGGGATTGAACCAAGGGCACTCTAGTACTAACCTACATCCTCAGGCCACCCTGCCCCTTTTTATTTTTATTTTTAAAACAAGGCCTGAGAACTTGTCCAGGTTGGCCTGGAAAGTGAGATCCTCCTGCCTCAGCCTCCTGAGTGGCAGAGGTCACAGACTACAGGTGTTTGGCACTGTGCCCCACCGTGATAGAGAACTTTAGATAGGATGATGATATTTCACATCCAGTGAAATGATAGGATGATATTTCATGTTCAAGTGACCAGCTAGGATAACTATTTCACCTCCACCCTGAGTCCTTATTCAACAGGCATTAAATTAAAAGTTTATTTGCACATTCAAAAATGTAAGAACAATAGAAAAATGATGTTTCTAAACAGCAATACAACGATTCTCTTAAAACACCTTCTTCTGCTCTTAAGCGGACTTGCCTAGGTTTGGTGATTTAAAAAGATCACTATAGTTGTGGAGTAGCAATGGAGGGTCTGGGAGCTGGCTCACTAATAAGCTAGGATCCCCATGAGTCTCACAAAGAATTCAATGAAAATGCCTGTGTGTTGATATGGATTGAACCCAATATGACAAAACACTGACTTCTCAGGATAGTAAAGACCGTATCTGTTTCATAGAAATTTGGAAAATTTTGTGTCAATATAACTTCTCAAGCTGTTTTGTGCCTTTATTTTTTGTTGTTGGTGGTGGGTTTTTTTTTGTTTGTTTGTTTGTTTTTGTTTTTTGGTACCAGGATTTAACCCAGGGGAACTTAACCACTGAGACACACCCCAACCCTTTTTATTTTATGTTTTGAGACAGGGTCTCATAAGTTACTTAGGGCCTCACTAAATTGCTGAGTCTGGTCTCAAACTTGCACTCCTCCTGCCTCAGCCTCTGAGTTGCTGGGATTACAGGCATGTGCCATGACAACTGGCTCCTATAGCTTATCTACTGAGCTATGTCCCTGGCGTTTTTATTTTTTTATTTTGAGACAGGGTCTCACTAGGTTGCTTGCAGCCTTGCTACATTGCTGAGGCTGTCTTTGAATCTGCAGTTGCATTGCCTCAGCCTCCCTAGCTGCTGGGATTACAGGCATGCGCCACCATTCCCAGCTCCTATATTTCTTTCTTAGGGGTCTGCTTGATGCCAAGTGTGGACTGGGTGCCAGGGTCAGGGTTGTGAGGAAAATTAATGTGGAGGTTGCTGTCCTTCAGATCACTGTCTAGTAGGAGGGAGCACCTTATCAAATGACCCAGAAAATTAATCTCAGAAATACACAGTTGTGGTAATAGGTGTAACTGACAGCAAGCAAGTGAGTTGAGTGGTACTTAAAGCTGAGTTAAGTGTAATAAGGTGATCCCCCTTGGTCTTGGCGGGCCGGCAGCTCCCTGAAGATGGAGCTGAGAACATAGAGCTGCGTGGGCAACAGACCAACATGGTTAAAGCTGATGGCTGGACGGAGGGGGTTTGAGGGATCTGGGAGCTAATCAAGGGCAAAGATATGACCATGACAGGCAGTAACATGCTTGGACAGGGTGGCATGAGAAAGGAAGTCCCACAGCCTGAGTCTGTTAAGGCTATGGTGGGTGGAGGGAGGGGAAGGGTACCATCCAGAAGGGAAGGGCACAGGAACTCCCAAGGTGGGGTGGTGACTGGACAGAGGTTTGCGTGTCTAGGTGATGTTTCTCAGGACCCCAGCAAGGAGTCTCAGGATAAAACTCCAAAGGGCAATGTCAGCTTGGGCTCTGTCTTATCAATGGCCAGTAAATGTTGGGTATAATGACACAGGTATGCAAAGCAGGCAGGTCCTAAATGGCTAAAAATCTGCTTGTTTGGCAATTTTTTAAAAAAACTGGATGGATGTGTAAAAATTTGAGTTTATTCCAGGCTTCTCAGCTACAGGATCTCAGCCTGTGGTGAGGAAATAACCAACACAGGGCTGTTGTGGCTCATTTTTATAACACTGGGGAAGCATGAGGCTCATATGAGAAGCCAAGAAAGGCCTGCCTATGGGGAGCATAGAAAGGGCTATATTTAAGTTCTGATCTTTTGTTTAAGAGCCCTGGAGAACTACTGTAATCAGAACTGTGGTGGGAAAATAGAAAAAACAAACAAAAAACGAACCAGAATTGGTTGGGAAGTATCACTGTGTAGTGGTGAGCCTGGGGGGGAGGCCTCGCATCCATGGGGCAGTCCCATTAAACTCATGGAGAAGTAAGGTAGTGCTTCCAGAGTGTTTGCTCACAGGTAAACTGTAGAACACAGTCACATTCAATCCAGGCACTCTGCAGAGACACTAAGGGACAGGTTCAGAGAGGAAGTCTCTGTATGACTCTTAGAACCTAGAGTCAGGAAAAGTGGACTTTCTACTCTTTTGTGGTGTATGGCTGCTGGAAGGTGTTTCTTTAGCACATTAGACCTTGGTGCTACCATAAGCTATTGCTTCTTCCCAACCTTGGGTCTCTTACAAAAGGACAATGAGGCAGGAAGTTCAAGAAGAGGATGCTAGTAAGAGCTGAGCACCGTGGTGCACGCCCTGTAATCCCAGTGACTCTGGAGGCTGGGGCAAGAGGATTGCAAGTTTGGCCAGCCTCAACAATTTAGAGAGGCACGCTCAAAAAAAGAAAAAAAAAAGGTGCTAACTAACTAAGGCTGAAGGTATAGCTCTGTGGGTAGAACACTTGCCCAGCATGTGCTCACATGTGCACACACATATGTACATGCACACACACGTGCACATGCACAAATAAATAAAAAGAATAGGATGCTGTGGAACATGGGTCCAGGGCACCAGGAGCATGTCATCAGCCCTGGGGCTGGTGTTGCTCTGGGCAAATCTGGCCCATGCACAGCCCCTGGGGGTCTCTTCCCTGCCTAGAGATGTCCACTTCTGTGTTCTAAGTTGCTTGCCCTGCCCCAAATGTCCTGTCTTCACAAATTACTCTTATCACTACTTCTGATCACACTCCACTAAGAGGACTATACAGGACAAACAGTCTCACCCCTAGAAGCTGTCTGTGACTTTGGTTTGACACTAGCAGGAGTTATCTGTACTTAGTCTCCTTTTCTAAACATAAAATAATCATCTCCTGGTTTGGAAGGAGGAATCTGCACATTTTCAGCCCTGACTTCAGTCTTCAGGGTTCCCCTGCCCACTGGCAGTGTCTTGGCCATGTTCCCTCTGTTGCTGTGATTCTGGAGCAGCAGCGTTGGCATTACTTGGGAATTACATTGTTAGAAATGCAAGTTCCTGGACACCCCACCACCACTCCCCCAGACCCATAAGATCAGACCCCCGGGGATGAGCCCAGCACTCTGAGTTGTAACTAGGCCTGGGTGGGGGTGGGGTCTGATGCTTATTGGAGTTGGAGAACCACTTCTGGAGCCCAAGCATGGATACTTGGCAAAAGTGCCCAAAGTTCATCTTCTTTCATAATTAGTATGTAAAAAAGGACAATTTATTTTCTTTTTCTTTTTTTAGGAATTTTTTTTTCCTCTACCAAAGGACTGTTCAAAATTTATGATATGTGCACGATCTCTTTACAAGAGGGAGATAGGATATGCAGTTTTCCCACTTTATTTGATTTGATGAACCTTCCCCACAAGGGGCAACTCACTGAAATCACTAGTATTCATGGAATATGCTTCAGAAAACGATAGACAACGAGGGGAAAATGAGAGAGAAAATGAGAGTAAAGTGATCATCCCATCTGATGGGTTATTTGGGAGCTTGTGGCCCTGTTTCACCCCAGCTCCTGAGCATTTACTTATGTGTTTCTACTCATTTAACACTCACTGAGCACCTACTACATGTCAGTGCTGTGCTAGTTTTTGGAGATCAACACTTGTTAAACAAATAGATCACAGCTCATTATAATTCAGGGCGATGAGCACTATGGTAGAAAGATACACAGGTTGGTGTGGGAGCATGGAGAAGAGTGCCCACCTTGTCTGGGGGCTCTCAGTACTCTTGCACAGTCACCTGTGTACCTGTTACTACAGTCCTCCATCCTCCACTAGACTTCCTGTGCACACAGGATGGCATACTAATCCCTCCCATTTGCATGTGTGTTAGCTTTGCATCCCTGTGTCCAATATATTCAATGAGAACAATTTAGAGGAGGAAAAGTTTATTTTGGCTTACAGTTTTAGAGATTCAATCCATGGTCAGCCAATTCCATTGCTCTGAGCCCAAGATGAAGCAAAGCATGGTGGTGCAAGGGAGTGGCAGAGGAAAGCATGTCAGGCAATGTGGCAACCAGGAAGCAGAGAGAGCCTTAGTGCAAGGAGCCAGGGATAATATAATTCCCAGGGGCACAACCCCAGTGATCTACTTCTTCCAGACATGCCCTACTTGCCTGCAGTTACCACCCATTAATCCCTTCACATTACTAATCCATCAAATGGATTAATCCATTGATTAGTTTACAGCTCCCATAATTATGTCATCTTTGAGCATTCCTGCATTGTCTTACACAGGAGCTTTTGGGGGACACCTCAT